CAAAGACTTAGAGAGGAAAGGTATCTCAGAGGCCATCTATTTTAACACTCTCAATTTATAGTTGAGGAAACTGAGGCCCAAGTAGATGAAGTCAATTAACCAAGGTGGCACAGATAGTAATCAATCATCAATGGTGGTATTTGAACCCACAACTTCCAAGCCAGTGATCTTTCCACTGTACCATGTATAGTATTTTTTAGACAGTGGGGAGACTAACTTAGCAAGAGTAGAGTATAGGGGAATAAGGGTAGATATAGCCTGCTAAGTAAGATTGAATCATAAAGGTTCTTAATTGTCAAGAGGAGAATTTTGACTAAGGTTTTCTAAATATTAGGGAACCATTGAACATTGAGGTGGGAAGAGTAACACTAAAAAGATTAATCTGAGAGCATTGTTTAAGATTGTAGAGAAAGGGAGATACAGGAGGGAAGGAGGTCAGTTAGGAGGCATTTAAAAATACATATTTTCAGCAGACACATGTTTCAGCTTCATTAGCTAGCAAGCTACAAGGAATATCATTATTGAATGGACACTAAGGCTACTACACAAAGAACCTGCTATAACACACCAAATTTCTTAAGCAAGAATGTTACCTGGCCCATGTTGAAAAGTACTGTTTCAAATTTCCATGTTCTCTTTCCAGTATCACTGTTCTCAGGACCAGAGAATGAGAGATGTGCCTTCCTTCTGGTTGGTCACTGAGAAAACAGACTTATTCCACAAACCCCTGATTAGCAAAGAGGTTGGAAGGACATGCTGAAGAATCTTGGAGCCTGTTAAGAACCATTCCAAAATACAGTTGGAAGAGTTTCTAGAGGGACAGAGGTCAGAGAAGCTTAAATGTCTGATTGTTTTTTGGAAGTCTTTACTACCCTCCTTGTAAACATTGCCCTAATTCTCCATTCTCATTGGTGAATTAGCATTAGCACCCAATAACTCTCTTATTAAAATCTAAAAAAGTTGCTATTTCCAAAGATGGTTGTATTTAATTGCTTTTCTTCTCTACCACCTTTCAAATTAATTCAGAAAAAAGCCTCTTCCCCCCCACAAGCACTGTCCTCCTTAATCTTGAAAATCATTTTTATTATTGTGAGCCAGTTATATGATGGAAAAGAAAAACACCACAAAGCTAAACAATTTCTCAGTAGAGAGAGGACATTCATTGAAATCAGAGGGAATATTCCAGGGTTACAGAAAATAAAGAAACAATATTTATCTCCTTCTTAAAAACCAAACTGTGGAGTCTCCCCTTTCAGCTTCCCCTAAACCTTCAGTGGTTCTCTCTTCCTACAAAATAAATTGCAAACTTCTTTGCCTCACACACAAGGCTCCCCATGATCAAAACTTCCACTTATCTATCTACTAGTATTTCTTACTCATTTACACAAATGTTCTCCTCCAAGTTGGTCTTGCAGTTTTGATTTAGTCTGAGATCTGCCTATATGAAACCAAAACAATTAATAATATCATTCAAGTCACATTTCATAATACATATATTCAAAATAAAACTAGTTTTGTATATTTTTAAAAATTTGGTCTGTAAATATGATTTTATCGACGTAGTGAATTCCTGTGAAGAACCACCCTTTACCAAGGCAGGTCAATAACAGTTCTGCAACTTATATCTTAAGAAAGCTCCTTGGGGCCCTGAGAGGTTCAGTAACTTTTCCCAGGCTACACAGTTAGTATATGTCAGGAAAAGGAAAGGAACCCAGACTTTCCTTTAAAAAGCCAGATTTTGATTCACTTACACATGGCCTCTTATTTATGATTAAAAACTTCACCAAGCTGGCTTGGACTTATAGAAAAATAGCCCTAGTAGCCATTTAATGAGAAAAGTAGGCTCTGCCACCATATCATATAACTTCTTTTTTATCAACTAAGAATATTACATGATTTTATTTGCATGGTTTTGCTAAGTGCATCATATAGGACAATGAAACATATATGATCTTTACATTTCAACAATTCACAATTTAAGAGATGTAGTTGGGAAACACAGAAGACTTGTAATAGAAAAACAGATGCTCATACCATGTAACTACAGGGACGTCAATTGAATATAAAGAAAAAATATCATGAATTTCTTTAAAATTCTCTATGTGCATAAAAACATGTACATTCTTAGAGGTATGATACCTTCAAAAGAGATGATCTTATCTCCATTATTTACACTTTATTTCTTTAGTTTCATTATTTTCTTTAGGAATATAATTCACAATATTTGTGGAAGTAATCAGTCATCAAAAATGATAGAAAAAAAAAGAGATCAGAAAGGTAAAAGAACCAGAAGAATTTATAGTCATTATCCTGTGTAGACAACATAGAGGAAGCAAACAGACACCTGGGGATGAACTACTATTATTATTGGGAAATAGTTGCCTAATGTTTTTGTTTTGAGGACCCATCTTTTCAATAGTAAAAAGGGTGAAAATGAGCCAATGTGTGTCTGCAAACCACATGGTATGATCCTGAAACATATTAGTTAACTGAGGGAAGGACTCTTTCTGGGCTCCATTTGTTAAATGACCAGTACTTTCTGCAGAAGGACCTCCACATATTTTCGGAACACTTTTTTCATATATTACATGAAGATATTTCTGCTTGCCCTGTTCTCATTTCTCAACTGAAAAAAAGGGGGTGGGAATTATTGGACTTCAGTGAATCAGAAAGACCTAGCATAGAATGACAAATGATCTTCATCAAAAGGGTGTCAGGTGCAAGAGGGTAGGATATCCAGCCCTTGGTGTAAATTTACCTAGAACTGCTCCCCTTTTGAATCTGCAGAAATGAGCTGGAATTCTTCCAAAATCTCTACCATTTCTTCTTGCAGATGGAAATTCAATGAGAGCAGCCTCTGGCTTTGAGTATTACAACATTTCTGATTTTTAGACAGAAATTGAAGTTGAAATCCAAAATTACTGCAAACACATTCCTGAAGTCCACAAGAGTTCAGTTGAAGGTTAGTTTTAAATTAGCATTCTTATTTAATCTGAGCAAGTTGGCCAATCCTACTAATTGACATTTTCTTTCCAAGCTTGATAAGGGTCTCATAAACTTTTAACAGAATGAGTATCAGCTACTATAAAATCTCCTGAAACAGTTATCTTCTTTACTTTTTTATTACACCTGTGATTTCACTGGTATAGGGGTAATCTCAGTGAGAAGATTCCCTTTAATAATACAGAAGGGCAGCTGCCCTATAGCTTAAAGCCTGGAAGACCCTGAGAGGCTAACTGCCCAGGATCCCACAGCCATGTGTCAAGGACAGTACTCTATTCACCTTCTCATGCTACTTCTCTTGCTTAGAGTATATATACTTGCAACTGTATTCTGTTCAAGAAGCCAGTGGTCAATACATACTATATACGTTGGTAAGGTCCTTATGTTAGATTGCATGTCATATCATACATAGCTAAAGATAAAAGAGAAAAACAAGCTGCCAAGAGAGTCATAACCCTTCTTTTAGGAGAAGGTTCTCCATTTCCTGAAGGACACATTTATGTAATCATGGAATGACAGAATTTCAGAGACCTTAGTTCCCATCTAGTCTAGGAGATTCTTAGCCTTTAAAAAAAAATCATGAACCATTTTGGCAGATTGGTGAAACCTGTAGATTCATCAGAGTACTATTCTAAATGCATAAAATATACAGGATTGCAAAGGAAACAATTTATATTGAAATACAATGATCAAAATACAGTTTATAAAAAGTTCTTGGGCTCCAACTTAACTCTTGGAATAGAAGATAGACAAGACATCCCTGAGACTGAATGACACATGCCAAAGCCTAGAGTCAGAAATGAGCAAATTATAGAGGGACATGATAAACTCATTACCTTGACTAGTTGTACTATATCTACTTGGTAGCAGAATGAGAATCAAATAGGAACAAGCCTTTATGGTCTGTGATTATGATAACTTGTTTGTTAAAAATTGATAAGTGACAGAGCAGACGTCTGAACCTATGTGTCCTGATTCCCAAGTACTAGGTTTTCTTTTCAGTCCACTGGCTTCTAATGATTATTTTAAAATTATTTTTCAATCAGAAAAATTCATTTTTTCTTATTTTCTTCCAGTTGAGAATGAAAGGAAAAGAAACAAACAAAAAGTTGCAATCATATAAAGTCACACAAAACAAATTTCTATGTTGGTCATTTCCACAAAGAAGATATCTAAAAACTCGTATATGCATGTGTGTGCATATGTATTTTTGATTGTTTCATTTTGTACCCTGAGTCTTTATCCTCTCTATCAGGAGATGTATAGCGTATTTGTTTCCTCATCAGTCCTCTGGAATCATAAGTGGTTAATATGTTGATCGCAGTTCCTAATTCTTTCAAAGTAGATTGTCTTTACCTTGTTGTCATTGTGTAAATTATTCTCCTGATTTTGTTCATTTACCTCTGCATCAATTCATATAGGTCTTACTAGATTTCTCTGAAACTATCCTTTTCATTTCTTATAGCACAATAGTATTCTATCACATTTATATACCATAACTTGCTTATTCATTCCCTAATCCATGGGTATCTCCTCAGATTCTCAATCTTTGCCACCTCAAAAAGAACTATAAGTATTTTTGTACATTCTTGGTTTTACTTAAGACTAATCCCTTCCTTAATCCACTGTCTCTCTAGTACCTCTTCTCCCTTCTCTTCTTTTCCCCCTATTTCACCATTTAGTCAAATGTGTTTCTGTACTCAATTGTGTGTGTGTATGTATATGTGTGTATATGTGTATATGTGTGTATAGACTTTTACTTGCATACCCCGATTATCTAAGATAATATTTCCTATCATCCTTTCCCTTCCCCTCCCAGAGTATCCTTCTTCCCTTCTTATTCCATTCTTCAAGATCATCAGAGCATAGTAGAAACACTCCTGTCTAATTAAACTTGCTCTTTGACCCCTGATATTGACAGGATTTGGAGGGGACACATATCTTCTCCCCATATTTGATGTAAGCAGTTTATCCCTGTTTAGTCCATATAATTATTCAAAAATATGGAACACTTCAGAAATTTTCGTGTCACTCTTGTTCAGGGATCATGCTTATCTTCATTGTGTTATTACAATTTCAATATATGTGCTACTGAAGGACGTACCCTCCTCATGCATATTTCAGGATTTTTTAAAAGCTTTTCTATGTAAAGTTATTGATCATTGTCATATGTAATAGGTCCAAGTCACTGAGAACTAACTGCTTCATTTTTCTAGGAAAGATACGTATCAGTTTCCTCAAAAGGAGAGCAATATAACAACAGAAGCTAATAATATAATAGCATAGTCTTTTATATTTTGTATATTCCTCAACATGACTATAATTGTATTCACTAACCAATGCCCTACGATTTTTCCTCTGAGTATTTCAGATACAATACGGAAAAGGGAGTAACAGTTATGACATTACTTCAAAAAATCAGTAGAAAGGGATTATCCTTGACAATTACAATCTCTCTGACATAGTATCCACACATATGTAGTGTGATATCTATGATGACAAATGTGGCTTCACTTTGGAGTCAGTCAGGGAGAGAACAGGGGAACTGTTTCACAAAATCTCTTAATTCTGCAGTTTGTTTAATCCACTGCAAAGGGATGTTTCTGAAACGACTGCTCCAGACCCAGAACTGAACATAGAGATTAGCATTTCTCAAAATATTTTTGGTCTTAGAACCCCTTTATACTCCTAAAAATTATTGAGAATCCCAAAGTGCTTTTGTTTATTAGGTTATTTTTATATGCTTTTTACTGTATTCAAATTAAATATTTCAGTATTATTATGAAAATAGTTTTGACTTTGCAGACACCCTTTAGAAGTCTCAGGGATCCCCAGGCATCCCAAGATGACACTTTAGGAATTTCTGACTTATCACTCACACACACTATATATACGTACACATATACACACATATATATGAATATATACATATATAGTGTGTGTATACATGTATGTGTATATATAATAAACATAGGACATATAGACCAGGAAGGAAAATGAGAAATGAATTGATGTTCTGAAAGTACACTAGGGTGAGGTGCTGTTATTACTTTGTTTCAGTTCACTATGCTTACTTTCTATGGAGAGGCAAAAAGAAAGGAAGAAGGAAAGAAAGTAAGAAAGAAAGAAAGAAAGTAAGAAAGAAAGAAAGAAAGTAAGAAAGAAAGCAAGAAAGAGAAAGAAAGAAAGATAGAAAGGGAGGAGGGAAGAAAAAAGGAAAGGAAGGCAGAAGGAAAAGAACAGAGAAAAAAGGAGTGAAGAGAGGAGGAAGGACAGAAGGAAGGAAAGACAGAAAAGAGGGAAATTGCCTCTCCCCCACTTCTTACACTCAAGTTCATTTACTCATAAGCACATGTACATGTGTGCTGGTATACATATTTATTTTTAAGTACCCTATGATTACCTATTGATTACCTATTGTATTAAACAGGGATTAGCATGACTGATCAAAAACCATAGATTAGATAAATACCATACTTCTGCTATAATAAGTTGTGTGTGATCCCATTGCTAATAAATATTAGAGGTAATATTCAGACTGATATATCTAACTCGTTAATGGTTTGATATCAGCTTGGTAAGAGGTCTCTAGTGGCAGGCCCCAGGAATCTGTTCCTGGCCCTATGCTGTTTATCATTTTTCTTTTGGTAATAATTTGGATAAAGACATAGATTGATAGGTGGTCTAAAGCTAGAAGACATAGTTAACATAATTCATTGCAGAGTTAGGATTTAGGCCTGATGTAAGAAAAATATTCCTAAACTTTAGAGCTTTTTCAAAGTTGAATTAGCCACCTGGCCAAATAGTGGGTTTTCTCTTACTAGAGACCATCAGGCAAAGGCTATATGATGATTTGTTAGGGGCATTGTGGAGGGGTTTTTTTGTTCAGGAATGGGTGGACTAGATGGCTTCAGAGCTTCTTTTACTTTCTCCTTTTTTTTTTTGTATCAAATTCTCCTGGAACTTGTGGGAGTGAATGTTGGAGTTTTACAAGATAAATAGAGAAATGGAAGAAACAGGTCAATATAAAGACCCTATGTAATTGAGAAGCCCAACTTGGCCTACCTCCCTTGAGAGCAGCAAGATATGTGTTTTCCATTTCCATTTCCATTTTGGAGCTATTTGGCATAGTGGATAGTGCCTTGGACACGGAGTTAGGAAGATCTGACTTCAAATCCTGGCTTAGACTCTCACTAGCTGTATGACTCTAGCCAAGTCATTTTGTCTTTTAGCTTCAGTTTCCTCACCTTTAAAATGGGGGGAAATAATAGCACCTACCTCCCAAGACTATTGTGAGGATCAAATGTGATAGTATAGGTAAAGCACTTTGCAAACCTTAAAGTGATATATAAATATTAGTCATTATTAAGTTAGGGACCAGATCTATTATTTTATTATCCCATGCAAGTAATTTCACTACACAAGTGGAGGTTATTCCTTCTATGAAACTTATAATCTTACAGTTACTTAGAACACTAAGAGTTTGAGTGACTTGCTCAGGGTCACACATGGGACTTGTCAGACATGGTATTTGAGCCCAGGTCTTTCTGGAAACCAGCTCTCTGGTATTCATGATAGCCTCCAAAATGAATGCACGTCCTACATATTGGAGGAGGTATGGTTATCAGCTTGCTCTCTCTCTCTCTCTCTCTCTCTCTTTCACTCTCTCTCTTCTGATAGCAGAGAGAATGGGTTGCAACTATGTCAGACTATGGCACCATGTCAATTGCATCAACAAAGCATTAAATTAAAATGCTTGACTTTCCAAAAGTTATTTCCATTTTTTTCTCCTAGTACATTCCTTTGGACAAAGTAGAACTTCGTTCTTGAGAGAATTCCTTTAGATAGAATATATTCCTGTGTTTAAGCATAAGTAGCAGCATCTGGTACCATTGGAATCAGTGCATGGCCTTTCATGGACACATCTTAGGCTCAGGAGCCTCAGGAGGCAAGCAGGGTGGCTACATCTGAAAAGTATCTGCCCTGGAGTAATGGAAAATGGCATTAACCTGACATATACACAAACCACACTCCAATAAATACTAATGCGTGGTCTTTGGTATCAGGTAGCCAGCTTTCTGATCTTAGTTTACATTTTTTCCAAACACACTCATTAATTTAGGGATTCCTCATACATTAGAGAACCCAATCTACCAACCTGACATCATAGACCTGATGTTCAAGTCAGAAATTTTTGCCAAAAGAAAGTCCTGGGTTTGAGTTCCTGGATTTCTTCCAAGTCCACCATCCATATAATATTTATCAAATCCCTTTTCCCATGTCCAACTAAACCCCATAAGAATAACTCATATTTATGTAACATTTTCAGGTTTACAAAACTCTGTTTTCTGATGCAATCTTGTGAGGTTGATCACACAAATATTGCCCTCCAGATAAAGAAAATAAGTCATTGAGTTGTTGTGTAAAGGACAGGGATCTGGAATTAGATCAAATAGGTTTGAATCTTCAGCACTGATACTTAATCGTTGTATGTCTTTACTCCAGTCATTGAGCTCTTCTTGGCCTTGACTTTCTCATTTCTAAAATGTGGTTGATAATAATAATAATAATAGTACATGAATTACATACTTGACAGAATTGCTTTGGGGAAAATTACTTGTAAACCTTAAAAGGTTACATAAATGAAAGCTATTAGCAAGGTTGAGAGATGGCAGATGCCCTGTCTGTGGCCACACAGCCTGTAAGCATCAGAGGCAGGATTCAAACTCAGGTTCAATCCTCTTTCTACCATTCTTCTGTATCATATAAAAGTATCGAAGAGCTTGAAGATTCCTTAGAGATGAATTGATTCTATTCATTTCCAAAATTTTTGGTAATTCTTCTCATTCAAATTCTAGTCATGCCTCTCTTTAAAAAGCAAAATGTTTTCATTTTTGGGCTTATCCCCCTCACAGTCTATGACTTTACATTTCATGAACCCTTTATATAGAATGACTCAACATAAAGAGCCTCATTTGTGTTTGTTTGTTTTTTAGTAATAGAGTTCATGAACTACACAAAAGCTATATGAAAACCTGTTAGAATAAGTCTAATCTGATCATCTTAGGTCCAATATTCATTTATGTTGTGAATCAGTCTGCCCTGGACATAAATAAAAAATACTTTAAAAAAAGTATAATTTTGTTTCTTCTTAGAAGAGATGGCCATTCTTTCCATAGAATTCTTAACTTCTGCATTTGTTTGCTCCTTCCTTCCTTCCTTCCTTCCTTCCTTCCTTCCTTCCTTCCTTCCTTCTTTCCTTCCTTCCCAAAAGAATGGTAGAAAGAAAGAATTATATAAAAACCTCTGACCAAAATCAAATAGTAAATACTGTCTTACTTCTGTGAAGAATATGGAACTATAGGTCAAGTAATTGCATATTTAATTTAGAGCTGATAGGTCTGTATGGCATTTATTCAATCCTTCTCCCCCCATACCTGAAACATTTATTGAATGCCTACTGTGTGCAAGCATTAGGGGAGGCACAAGGTTGAGATAAGACATAGTACTAGCCCTCCTGGAATTTAGTCTACATGGAAAATAAAATGCAAATAGATATTTAAAATACACAGTATTGCCTGAGAAGTTCATTAGGAAGCTCAAAATTTAATACTTTATGAGACATAAGGGGAATATTGTTACGGATACATGGTTCAGGATAGGGCTTCACAGCAGAGGCATTCTGATTTTGTCTTTGAAGAATGAGTAGAGATTCTTCATGCCAAGCATTGAAGAGAAGACATTTCAGCCACATAAAAGTGTAGCAATGGAAGTGTTTGGGGACAGAATTCAGCCTAGTTTGATGAGGACAGAGAAGCACCAGATTGTAGAGGGCTTTGAATGCCTGGCAGTTGTTGAATGAATAACATGGATGTTTGGGTACAATTTGCTTTCTGTTCCCACTCTGCTCCTTGAGTTTTGGAGACTTCTCCTTCCTATTACTGTGTCTTTACCACCGGTAATAGTAACTGTTACTGACTGAGGGTAGTCATGGTATCCCTTCTGTATATCCTGGGAGGTAGATAATCTAAACTAAATACTGAATATGCATTAATATCGAAATTCAGTTCCCAATGCACTTGCATGTGGTTTCATCAAGT